TATATATATATTATGATAAATTTTGTAGAATACTTACGTATAACTTTTAAAGTGTGGATTTCTTTTTTATTCTCAAGTTGTAGATAAGTAAAGGACTGATTTCCTAGATAAGGTTATGCTATGTTCTTCAAATTTACCCTAGTTTTGGTTCTGATTTCGGGAACCAAATTGTATCTTGTCTCGAATTTTTCCGTTTGTCGTAGTCAAAGTACTCAAAATTGTTTGACCAGATCCGGTACGAACTCCATACCCACACCCATACTAGTGTCGTGTCGACACGGGTGCGGCACCTAAACTGCCATGTCAGAGCAACTTAGATTGTGAATGATGATGGAATTAGATCAAAAGGCTTTGTTAACTCAGTGGTAAAGTAACACCATACTTTCTAAGCAGTCTTAAGAGTTTTCTACAAATAATGATAGTAAAATGTCTGACTTTCCAGATCCCCACCCCCCCTCCCCGCGCGCGGGGCATAAGACTTATTGCGTTAAGTTTGCGGTTGGATGATCAGATTATGTTGAGGTTCTGCATCTGAGTCTCACCGTACTCAAATCAAAAAAATTGCACGTTTTTGGCTAAGAAAAATAATATGATCGGTCTGTGAGAGAGCATATGGACCAGTATAAATAAAAATATATCCTCTCTTCAACAATTAAACTTTTATATGAGTTGATTCACTTGTTGGAAAAACTATTTTTTTCATGATTCTTCACACATATGAATTAGACCGACGCTTGATCTTGCCACTAGAATCCATGTGCTTACACGTGTGTGTGTGTGTGTGTGTGAGAGAGAGAGAGAGAGAGAGAGAGAGAGAGAGAGAGAGAGAGAGAGAGAGAGAGAGAGAGAGATTTGCATGCCTTTATGATAAACCTCATCCTTTGCCAGAGGCTTCGAAGAGCCAAAAATGTATTCAAGTTTCATTCGACATCTACAGCTCTAACATCTGACCTTGAAATTTTTTATAAACATTGCAGAGGTTGGGTTAGGTCTCATTGGATTTGGCATCTTTTTCACATTTCTTGCCATAATTTTATTCTTCGACAGGGGTTTGCTTGCGCTGGGTAATGTAAGTAATCTGTTGTTATGGATGTTTTAACTAATCTTAGTTTATGAGACTACCAACTAAATATCTTTTTCATACCTTGTCCTAGATACTTTTGTTAGCAGGTGTAGCACTTTTGCTGGGCTGGCGTTCCACATTACAACTCTTCAAAGTGAACTACAAGGTAGATATTGTTTGGATAAGTAAAAGTGCAGAGAAGTATTTGAGGAATACATCCTGTTATAATTCATAGCATTTTCTGCTACATATGTTTGGAATTTTCTGTATATATAAGCAATCTCGTATTTCTGTGGTGTAGTTTAATAGATCTAGCAGATTTATCCCTTCCATGTGATTGATTAGGCATACATCATGCTGGTTGCTACACCTAATCCTTAGGCATCGCTGAAAGCGTTGGTTGTTAAATTCGAACACAATGTCCCAGTGTGGCCTAAATATGAATCTGAAAACTAGTTTCTCTCTATCACGAGGTTATTTTTCTGTCTTGTTAGATAGATTATTAATATATTCTCTGAGTTGAAGCTTTTTGATCAGTTTTGCTTTCTATATGAAAATACTGAAGAAAGAAGATTAAGAAATCCAGGAATAGAAGGTCACGAAGGAGCAGACCATAAAGTATGGATAATTGTGTCTCCTAGATGCAACGTTGAAGGAATGAGAAGAACACTAGAATTTTGACCCATGAAGCCTAAAAACATACCGAATAAAAGGCTATTTGGTAAACCATCCGATTCTCTAGGAAAAGATCATGAATATAAAAATGTAGGGAGAGGCTCCATTACTCTTTTGTGAAGCAACATAAACTTCTTCTTTTAGTAAAGGAAAGAGAAAAAGGGTTCAATGCTCACAATTTCCCATGTGTATTGAAATTCTGGAGTTTATAAATTGCATCTGCAGATATTTCTGAATACCCGCCAATGCCATTTTCAGATTCTTGTTTGCTATTAGTTACAAACCACTCTGAAGTATTCCTATTGCTCTCTTTTAGTTCGACTTATCTCTCGAGCTATGTAGAAAATTCTCTGCTCCATCTCTATGAGCTTGTTTAGGTGGCTTGGCTTCCATTTCTCGTGATCATAAATCTAGGCTTAAGTTACTTTATAAAGCGAACCCCTAAGCTCTTGCCGAAAAGTAGAGAGGGAAATAAATAAAAGTCCGGTGTTTAAGTGAAATAAACAAGACTTTTGTTCCAGGGCACGATATCATTTATGCTTGGACTCTTCCTTATATTCGTTCGCTGGCCAGTTGTGGGTATCATTGTGGAAATATATGGATGCATTCTTCTCTTCGGGTGAGCACCTTTTCCTGAATATTTTCCGGACAAGTTTTCTCATTTTTCTCTTCACGTTCGTCTTTCCTTGGGTAGCATAAGAGATTTAGACTTTGATCTTTTCCCTGCAGCGGTTTCTGGCCATCCATCAAGGTTTTTCTTTTCCAGATTCCTGTATTTGGATGGATTCTGCAGTATCCTGCTCTGGTGAGTTAATACTTATTTCTGTCTGAAATTCTGGTGGCTAAATTTTGAAAGAGAATACGGCTTCTTTGGTGCAGCTCCTTCAATTCGTTTTTCCTTTTAAAAAGGCATGTATTATACTGATATACGGGGTCAGGGGCGGATCTACCTTATAGGGTAGGGGTGGTACGCCATCCGCACGCTTCAACAAATATTCTTAATAAGTATGTTGATATCTATGAAAAAACGATTATATATATAAATTGGCACCCATAATACACAAGTGGCAGTTGGGTGCCATGGTTCAGGCTTGCTTTTTAAGTCTCTCATTTGCTTCGAGGGCCCAGGTTCGATTCCCTGCAGCTGCATCTTCCTCTTTCTTTTATTGTTTTCCTACTTATTAGTCCTTATTTCCTTTTTTTCTCTGTGGGCCTTGGGCCCTCACTTCTTCTTCCTTTTCTTCTCCTCCTCTTCTTTTTCCTCTTTTTTCTTCCTATTATTTGCTACTAAATCTATCTATCTTCTTTCTTTTTTTAAATTTCCTTATATTAGCCTTTAGTTTGCTACCTACAATTACACCTTATTTCTTGAGCAACTTATATGTAGCTTCTCTCTTTTTGGAGTATAATGTGAGCAGTATCATTTGTTGGCTTTTGAAAAAAATGTCCTAATTAATATAGGTTTTGAGTTAATTCTCATAGATTGAAGATTTGAAACTTTTGCTTTGAAATAATTGTCATATGACTCGACAATTAAATTGAAAAAATTAATTAAAGAATAATAATCAATTAATCAAATCAAACAAAGAATATATAATAACTAAGCTACTCTTTAAGAAAATTTTCTAATTGGAGGTGTACTTTCATGCTATGTTGCTCGGACTCTTCAAAAAGGCCTTTGCACTTGTGTCGGATGCTCCAAAAGCTTACAACTTTTGGAGGATTCGACATGAACCCACTAATATTTTCGGATAGTCCGAGCAACATAGCTTTCATCGAATATTTTCTTTTTGTAATTTTATTCTAGAATATAATTAAATCAAGTGTAAAAAATTGAACTAAAATCGAACTTATTTGCCTATTTATGAATAAAAATCTAACTGGATGAACCAAAAACTAACTGAATCGATCCATTCTTAATCGGTCTTTGTGGCTAGTGGTAAGTATACTATATACATATATAGTGGCACCCGTAACCTTCAAATCTTGGATCCGCCTCTGCATGGGGTTGATGATATTTCTCTTTCTTCCTAAAAAACGAGGAAAGCGGGCATCGTCCCTTGATTGGTTGTGTTATATATTGTACTGTGGCATGCCTGAACTCAATTTTGGCTATGCTCGCATTTCTTTCTTTTCTGCACTACTCTCTGTTTTTTGTGGAAGTCGTTAAAATGGAAGTTTTTTCCTGATCCTTGATGATTGTCTGGAGTTGCAATTTGGTCCTCAATGCATTGGTTGTGCAAATCACACTCCTATAGTGTTTATTTGTGCTCAAGGTTCCTGGTGTGTGGTCATATTGTTTAAATTCGCATTTGATAATTGTTATGTGAAGGGCCAAATGTTCCTTATCAAAAATGTGAAGGGCCAGATGTTGAATGGAGGGAATACACATGCCCAGTGTGCCACTGTTGCTTACAGTAGGGCGCCACATTTTGGTTACGATCAAATTTATCTCATAGTCTACTCTTTTTGGGGAGTAGAAACATATTAAATCTATCAGTCTGATGTTATGTAGTGCCCCAAAACCTTCCACCAAAAACCACACTTAATTCTTCACTAAATCTGGAGATGCATCATTAGAACTCAAAGGGGCAATTGTCTTGTTCTAATAGATTAGTAATTAAAAACTTTGATCTGCAATCAGAGCTAATAATTGGCCATTATGGTGTGCCTTGGGGGAAAAAAGGTTAGATGGTTGACAGTGGCATTTATTTTACAGATATGTTTCAATTTTTGTATCCGAAGGTATCGTGTTAGGTTCTAACATCTTGCCCCCTTTGTTTTCAGCTTCTTGACCGCTTTCGAAGCTAACTGATTAGTCTGCTCCAATTATCCTGTTTGATTCCTCATCATCTTTTGATGAGTTTTTGTGCCAAGGAAGGAAGAATATACTCAGCTGGGACATATCCAAATTGTTTGTCTTGTCACTTCTGTAATGCAGCAATTTGCTGTTTAGTTGATCTTCACTTGGTATTCACCAATGGCTCACCCAAATGTAGGATTATAGATTATGATTATTTCACTTGCTGCCTATATTTCTGCAGAAATATAATCATTGTAGTTCTTAACTAGCAATTCTAATTCTCCAGTTTTCTTATACTATCCCCTGTTTCCCCTACCATTTCTTATATGTTTGATTGAAAAAAGTATTGTAGTAATTGCTCAGGGGCAAGAATTTGTTCCAAAATGCAAAGCCTTCTCTTTAATTTGACCAACTATCAGCCAATGGCACCTTTGGAAATCACTTTTAAGTACAATTTAGGTGCTAAATTAATTATATTTTTAATTTATGTTTAAGCTTTGCACATTGAGATCTTGAAACTTTTTCTCATATTGTATAGATTTGGTGACAAGTTGAAAATCCATAAATTTCAAATCCTAACTCCGCCTCAGTGTTTGGTGATCTCTTATTCTCCTTCCTTTTAACATGCAAGGTTTAATTTCAAGTATTACATTTTGTCCTAATATATATTCCTCAACAAAATATCGGTGAGGTGAACGGCAAACATCATTTCCTCATTTGAACTTTGTATACTTTTCTTTTTCAATATGGCTTACTTTAGCTGATCAATAGTGATTGGGTGATGCTTACACAACTGTCCTTACTATAACGTACTCTTCTTCCTAATAATTATATTCTTTCTTCAACATCCAAAGTTGTAGGACATCGTCTTCTTGACTAGTAGGAGTATTATTTTCTTTGGGATTATGTGCTTGTTCTTTATTCACCACTTGTTCGGGTCGGGTCATTATAGAGTATATATAGAGGACCACATTGATGAGTACTTGAGCACCACTTTATTTTAAAAGTTGTCCATGTTCTAGATGGTATTTTTTTCTTATTAGAAGAAGGACAAAATGAAAATATTAAGTAAGGTAACAGCAGGCTGAAAATCAAATTTCAATTTGAAGCTGAGCTACGTAATATACAACGGATTATATATATGGTAATATACAACAAGCACATAATCCCACTAACTAGGTTTCAGAATAGTAGTCCACATCATTAATTTAGCGAGGAGATTATGTGAAAATTATTAGAGTTTATTATCGGCAAGATTCTAATCATTCGTGTAATAATTGAATTATAAAATAGGACAAGAAATGGAGCTAGGGGCACTTTATATGTAAGATCAACTTTTTAGTATATTTATATTAATTAATATTGAATCACTTGATCTTTTTGCATGTTTACTTTCTTTGTTTTTAAGGTTTTTAGGGGTCGTTTTATAGGGTGTATAAGAATAATATTGAATATGGCGTATTAGTAATCCTGAGATTAATAACGTTGGGATTAGTTATACTGAGATTATTCTTACCGCCTATTTGATTTGGTGTATTAAAAGTTTTGAAAGGGCAGTTATGTCATTATACATGCTTATTCATGTACAAGCAAACCTCTCTATAACAACCTCGTTTGTTCCGATATATTTTGGTTGCTATAGTGAAGTGTTGTTATAGAGGACATATATTATAATATAACATAAAAATCAGTTCCGAGAAAACTTTGTCTTTTATAGTGAATGGTTGTTATATATATAGAGATGTTGTTATAGAGAGGTCTCACTGTATCAAAAGTTATGGTATTGCCAATGCCATGATCATTTGCTATGTATAAGAATAGTACTCAATGGATATATGACTAATACTATTAGGGGTTGTTTGGTACGTGGACTAAATTATCCCGGGATGAGATAAAATAATCCCATATTGATGGGATAAGGTGGGATAAGATGGGACATCCTGGATTAAGTCTGAGATTAAATTTATACCTTGTTTGGTTGGCGGTATAAATTTATACCTCCAACCAAACAAGGTATAAATTTAATCCTACTTCTTATCCCACCTTATACCTCATACCAAACAACCCCTTAGTTGTGTATAGACTGAAAAAATACTACCAAATAATAGATTAACAATACTAATTATATATATAACTTTTCCTTATACATCTTACCAAATGAGCCGTTAGTGAAAATTCTCACTGCTTAGTTCCTAGCAGCAGGGGCAGATTTAGCGGGGCGGAAGGGAGTTCACCAAAACCCCCTTTGCCAAAAAATTACACTGTATATATAAGGCAAAATTTGTTTTTTACCTCTATATATTAAGTTTTGAATCTCCTTGACACAGCCCAAAAGTGCAACTTAGTGGTCAAAGGGGTTCAAAACCATTTGTAAGGCCATATGTTCAACTTCCACTAGCTACATTCTTTTTTAACTTTTTTCATTTTATATCCCCTTAGCGAAGATCCTGCCTCCGTCTCCGCCACCGCTTAGTAGCCACAAATGACCAAAGGAGCAGTTAAAGGCAAGATGCTTTATTTCTAAATCAATTATTAAAGGAAGATAGTAAGACCAAGTTGGCTTATAAAGAAAATAGAGTAGAGGCGGCTATTAGGAAACAATGAGACAATACAGATAAAGTTAAAGAGAAATTTTGAAGAGGGAATCGAAACATCTAAAATAGGTAATAAGAAGGAGATATCTTGGTATCTAAAATTTGCAGAATTTGAAATAGTTTTCTCTTTGTTTCCATCTGGATATATTGTCACATGTTTGGTGGAATTCAAACCTGTCACATCTTGGCATTGCTGTTTGCCACCTAAGTTATATATAATCTCATTCCAATTAAATGGTTTGTTTTCTTAAATCCGTTCTATAACAACATTCATCTCCTTAAAAGTATTAAATTTTAAGTTTATTTTATTTTACAATAATAATATTTTAGGAACACATTTTCGTTTTTACAACTTCTTTATTCCATTTTAAAAAACAAAAAATTAGCCATATGCAATGTGTTACAGTAATAATGTTTTAGAATCTTTTTAATAAATTTGCAAAATAAACAAAATTAAAACAAAAAGAAGCATTTCTCTATCTCAAATTAACCGTCTTAACTTCACTTTAGTAGTCAAAATTATGAATGATGTATCACTATTGTATTTTAGTTTTAATGTACAGTACTATTGTATTTTAGTTTTAATTTAAAACTTACCAGATAGTTTTTCATATCTTAATACTAAAAATATTTTAAGAAGGATATGTCTATATGTATTAGGCCGATATAGCTCGAAAATAACATAATTAATAGAGTAAATATTAATTTGAGACAATATAAATATCACTGCTGACATGCCTTCTTGACATCAAAAGTAACCATGAACATCCTTCCATCTGTCTTCCAAGAGCAGGAGAAATTCAAAAATAGCCAGATTTATAAGTGGTCATTTAAAAATAGTCATAATTTTAAAAGTAATCGAAATTTAGTCACTTTCCATGTAACAACGAAAACACTGTTCAAAATCCGAAAAAATACTCCAGTATAATATATTGGAACTCCAATATATTATATTGGAGTTCCAGTATAATATACCGGTCCAGCATAATATACTGGAACTTTCCGCGTGATGGAGTTCCTGCATAATATGCTGGAAGTTCATAGACAGGTGCACCGATCTTCAGTATATTATGCTGGAACTTTTCGTGTTGCAGTAAAATTGTGACTATTTTTCAATGATTTTACAAACGCTGGTTATTTTTGAATGACCAGTCAGAAAACTGGCTAGCCCGTCGCCCTTTATAACATCCTTGTGTTTCCTTCAAAAAGTTTTGGTTTTCTTTATCGTAGATATTTCCTTCTAATTAAGAAGCAGACAGAAAACATTTCTAATATATATTTTTCTTAAAAAAAATTAATTTGCATGCCTTCCCAATTTTATATTGACGACAAAAAGGCTGCTAGTAGTATTATGTAGGGTTGGTTTCTCCAATATTTTTCATGCATGTGCCATGTTATTTTTATTTATTGCTTTTTTGGGACCAACAAATTAGAAAAGAATCAAAAATAGAGGTAGTGACTAACTAATAGTGAGTATTGGGTACCACCATTGACCCTCGCAAGTTTGAGTCTCCGCGCCACTTATGCTGGGGTAGGACGATTGTAACCGTACACATATTCCTAGCTAGCTAGGTGTATTATATCTCTCGTTTGACATGATGACGACATGAATTGAACTTAAATGAAGAAATGATATCGATCTTAATTTGTTTGAGATTAAGGCGCGTAGTCAGTATTATTATTTTTATTATTATTATTATTATGCGGTAGGGGATGGGAAAATGGGGGAGGAGACTAATTACAAGGTGGGACATCGAATTTTCACCAACAAGATGAAAATTCAAGTAATCAACTAACAGAACTACTAAAAATCCCGTATTGTTGTTGTTTTAAAAGATATATTCGTTTATTCTATGTTATGTCTTTAGTGAGGTGAATTTGATGCCCCACTTCACCTTTATTTCTCAAATTTTTATTTGATTAATTAAATGTTAAGAGTACTATAGAAATATCTCCAAAAAAAAGGTTCGGATTATACTAATTTGATGTCCATGTTAGTACTTGAATTGGTAATGTGTACTACTTGAGTTTACCGCGAAAGTATAAAATTTAGATTATCTTGTTCTTCTAGTACACACAATGACCCCCTTTTAACAAGTCCTACGGGAATAGAGATTAATAATAGGACCAATAATATCAAATAGTACATTATAACTATATAAAAAGCTAACTGCGCTTTGAGAGTAAGGTAATACTTTTGAGAGCTGAAAATTGAGTTATTATCCGAATGGTAAAATTGTTTATACTTCTATATATAATTATATATACAGAGGCGACCCCCCCAACCCAAGGAAGAAAAAGACAAAAAATACTCTTGAGAACAATGAGGTTATACTATTATGTAGGAAATGTAATCGAAGATACTTAACCCATATCTCCCTTTAATTTTAATTAATCAATTTCTAGATATTTATATATTAATTAATAGGACTGCTAGTAGTGTCAGATTGAAGTAATAAATTGTACTCCTATTATTTTAGCAGTGTCCTATTTTTTTAATTCATGTCCTGCCCCTTTATACGACGTCCCTATAGAAAGGCCTGAATAATTTCTTTATTTTATCTGGCCAAAACCTTTTTTTTAATATACCATTATATTTGGGAGTTAGGCCTATGGTTTGTTTTTCCACCGAGAGAATTAATATTCTTTTCCTGAGGTTGCAGATCTTGGAGAAATGAGAGTGAAATGCAATTTGAAAGAATAGAATTACCATTTTTCTCATTGAAGAATCTCATTGCACATGAACTGATAATAAAACCAAAGAGACCAAGTGAAGTGAACAAAATTCATCTCTTTATTGATTTGGTGCACAAAGCACAAGCAGGCACTAGGAGACAGCCAACAATAATTAACACAAAACAAATCAAACAAAGATAGTACTTACAATAATAAATTATAAAGAAGCAACATCAAAAAACATGAAAACTCAAATACACTTGAAAGATCAACTAAATAATTAATATTCTAATAAAAAACTAAGCTGTTGAAGCCACTTCCACGTGAAGACACAATGAGAACAATGTGTAAGAAGGCCACCAGAGAAGTAGAAGCAAAGTGGTCCAAGTCGCTAGGAATCAACCTCTGAATTGCAAAGTTGATGATCTTATTGATTAAATTAATTGCTTTTGACCATGGGCCTCTGAATCTTTCCCTCAAGAAGCCATCACTTATTTTGTGATTTAAACTGAAATCTGCAAAAGGGCAGCAGAAAAATATTAAACCTTTAGTTGAATATCACCTTCAATTTGGTGTAATTAAAAGAACTCCCTAATAAAGTATAATTCATACTGCAGCTACTTACTTGCGTGGTTGTGGAAAATGGCCAAGCTTTTCAAACTGCTTAGTAGTGGACTGGTGGTGGCGGAGAAGCATAAATGTATACCGGAGGGGGAGGTGATTTTACGGGTGGGGGAGGTGAAGTGTAGTGGTACGGAGGGGGAGGTGATTTTACGGGTGGGGAGGTGAAGTGTAGTGGTATGGAGGGGGAGGTGATTTTACGGGTGGGGGAGGTGAAGTGTAGTGGTATGGAGGAGGAGGAGACTTCATAGGTGGTGGTGGAGACTTGTAATAGTAGGGAGGTGGGGGTGATGGTGATGGGGGTGGTGGCGATTTGTAGTAGTATGGCGGAGGGGGTGATGGTGATGGTGGTGGTGGAGACTTGTAGTAATAGGGAGGTGGAGGTGATGGGGATGGTGGTGGCGGGGATTTGTAATAGTATGGTGGAGGAGGTGATGGTGATGGCGGGGGAGGGGACTTGTAGTAATATGGTGGTGGAGGAGATGGAGATGGTGGTGGTGGAGACTTGTAATAGTATGGTGGAGGAGGAGACGGCGATGGTGGTGGAGGAGACTTGTAATAGTAGGGAGGTGGTGGTGAGGGTGATGGTGGTGGTGGTGACTTGTATGGTGATGGTGGTGGTGGTGACTTGTAATAGTATGGTGGAGGAGGAGATGGGTCTGGTGGCGGAGGAGACTTGTAATAGTAAGGTGGAGGTGGAGATGGTGATGGTGGTGGAGGAGACTTGTAATAGTAAGCTGGTGGTGGTGGGGACTTGTATACGTATTTTGGTGATGGAGGAGGTGGCGACTTGTATACGTATTTCGGTGATGGGGGAGGTGGCGACTTGTACACGTATTTTGGTGATGGTGGTGGTGGTGACTTGTATACGTATTTAGGTGATGGAGGAGGTGGTGACTTGTACACATATTTCGGTGATGGCGGTGGCGGTGACTTGTACACGTACTTTGGTGATGGAGGAGGCGGTGACTTGTAGACGTATTTTGGTGATGGTGGTGGTGGTGACTTGTATACGTATTTAGGTGATGGAGGAGGTGGTGACTTGTACACATATTTTGGTGATGGAGGAGGTGGTGACTTGTACACATATTTCGGTGATGGCGGTGGCGGTGACTTGTACACGTATTTTGGTGACGGAGGAGGCGGGGACTTGTATACGTACTTTGGTGATGGAGGAGGCGGTGACTTGTACACGTATTTCGGTGATGGAGGAGGCGGTGACTTGTAGACGTACTTTGGTGATGGAGGAGGTGGTGACTTGTATATATACTTTGGTGATGGAGGAGGTGGAGATTTGTAATAGTAAGGAGCAGGAGTTGGCTTAGGCTTCATGCATTCTTCATAAGGAGTTTTGGAGGCATAAGCAAATGGTTTTGCATAGAGCACAACTTCATATTTATTCTTTGACTTCACTTTGAGGCTAGCACCTTTAATGCCCCAGTGTAGATTTGTGGGAATGTCACATTTTGAACCCTTTGGTGCTTTGTGGAGTTTAGCCTTGCATGCATCTGCTCCATATTTGGCATAGGCAAATCCTTCGACTGTGATAGCAAACTTGCCATTGATTTTAGTGGTACCATAGCTCTTGATTTTCTTGTCACCAACTTTGCATGTGACCTCAACAACAGCACCTACTCCCAGTGTGGAAAAATGATATTTCAATTAGTACTTAATAATTGAGTTGTTAACAGATCATATAGACATATATTCACCTTATTTTCCTACTAGCTACAATAACTAACTTTGTCCTATTCTTAATATAAAAATAACTGGTCTATCACATGATCAAAAGCTCATTTTTCCACTTTTTCCTCTTTATCTAATAAGGAATATAAAAGTCAAGAATAATCTACCCATCTGGCTTCCTTTACTGCTTTTTGTTGAATGATTGCTAGATTAAAATGGGCAGTTTGTGAGCCAACGAAGACTACGTTTGGCACCACTAGAGGAAGCCACTTTTTCACCATTTTGGTGATTATCCAACAAATTTATTTCATTATTATATATTTTAATAGTTTGATAATAATTACTTAATCATGAAAAAAGAAAAAGCTAAAGAAAACCTTAATACCACAAGTAATTACTTAATCATGAATATATATCTCGTAGATCCACAGTGAAGATTGATTTTTTTATGGGAAGCATAAGTAATAGTATAATATTTTTCTTACTTTTACTTTTTTGATGTTTTTTCATTATTCACTTGTAAAAAAAACTTCTTCGATGCTACTTCTTGGTTTTAAAAAACTTTTTTGGCAAATATATTTAGGACATTTATCAACTTTATAAATTATTCAAGAATTGGCCTTACAATTAACTGTCCTTCGCTTTCACTATAATACTACATAAATTTAGAAAGAATGTTGGTTGACACATGCTAAATTAAAATTAAGTCCCTAAAGGCATTTCATTATTAATGAAGTTGGTGCCTTCAAAATTAAGCATGTATTTCTCCAAGATTCAAACCTCAGGAAGAAACATTAAATTCGAGGAAAGCTAAGAGCGAAGAGAATAATAGATTCACAAGTAAACATCTTACTGAATATTGTTATAAAGAAATATTAAAAAGAAAATTAAAAGTAAGTGAGAATGTTGCAGAGATGAGTACAATACCTTTGAGGTGCTTCTTGTTGTGGGAGTTCTTTGGGTATTTCCAGTCATAGCATCTGTAGCAGTAGACTTTTCCAACAACCTTAACGATCAAGGAATGATGAGGAGCATAGTAATGAGTTGGGGGTGGTGGTGAAGTGTAGTAGTATGGTGGAGGAGGTGACTTAACTGGTGGTGGAGGGGAAGAATAGTAGTACGGTGGAGGAGGTGACTTAACTGGTGGTGGAGGAGAGGAGTAGTAATAAGGTGGAGGAGGTGACTTAACTGGTGGTGGAGGTGACTTAACTGGTGGTGGAGGGGAAGAATAGTAGTATGGTGGAGGAGGTGACTTAACTGGTGGTGGAGGAGAGGAGTAGTAATAAGGTGGAGGAGGTGACTTAACTGGTGGTGGAGGGGAAGAGTAGTAGTACGGTGGTGGAGGTGACTTAACTGGTGGTGGAGGGGAAGAATAGTAGTACGGTGGAGGAGGTGACTTAACTGGTGGTGGAGGAGAGGAGTAGTAGTAAGGTGGAGGAGGTGACTTAACTGGTGGAGGAGGGGAGGAGTAGTAGTATGGTGGAGGAGGTGACTTAGCAGGTGGTGGTGGGGACTTGTAGTAATAAGGTGGTGGGGGAGAGGGTGAAGGGGGTGGTGGTGATTTATAATAGTATGGTGGAGGTGGTGATGGAGAAGGTGGTGGGGGAGACTTGTAATAATAAGGTGGAGGTGGCGAAGGTGAAGGTGGTGGCGGGGATTTGTAGTAATATGGTGGTGGAGGTGATGGTGAAGGAGGTGGTGGTGATTTATACACATATGGTGGTGGTGGAGATGGTGATGGAGGTGGTGGCGACTTGTACACATATGGTGGAGGAGGAGATGGTGATGGAGGTGGTGGTGATTTATACACATAAGGTGGGGGTGGAGATGGTGACGGAGGTGGTGGAGACTTGTATTCGTAAGGCGGTGGCGGAGAAGGAGAAGGAGAAGGAGGGGGTGGTGACTTGTACTCGTAAGTTGGTGGTGGAGGAGAAGCATATATATAAGGGTCAGCAGAAACAATATTAGCAACAGCCAAAATGGCCAATGCCACTAAGATTTGTGGCACATGACGACCCCGGCGGGGGTCGCCACCGTTAAGCCTCATTGCTAGTCGGAAAATTGCGCCACCAACTCCTCTCTAATGTGGCAATGCAAATCTGCACACTCTTGAAAGTGTGAGAAAAAGAGGAAGAGAAGAAGCTTTAGTTGAGAGGTAATGACTTAAGAGGAAGCAATGGCCTAAGTATTTATAGTAACACTTAGTGAGAGGCAGTCGTTGGTATGGAGCTGTCAATTGGCACCAATTTAATTTGTCCGATTGAGAATCAAGACTTTTCAAAATATGAACTATATACAGCTGGACTTCCCAAATTATTTTTAAAGTTCCATTACTTCATCACTCTGCATTTTCCATTGTTTTTTATTTTTCTATAACAAGTGGTTACCTGTACATAGATTTACAAAAAGAACATAACATTATGCACAGAGACGCATGCTATAATTGTGTAAGGGAAAATGAGTGTTTTTAATTTTTTACATTTTCACTCTTAGTTTCGTTTTCAATACTTGTGTTGCCTCTGAACCTTAATGAAAAGTGGGATCATAGAATTTGGTCTTTTATTGTTGTCTTCTATGGTTCTGTTTTCCTAGCCGCTGGGGTGGGGGTGGGGGCAGTGGAGAAGCCAGAATTTTCTTCAAGAGTGTTCAAACTTGAAATAAGTGGGAAAAAGTTTCTGACAAAGAGTGTTCAATATATGTTATATACCTCTAAAACCTAATATTTTACCTATATACACAGCGTAATTTTCCGACGAAGGGTGATCAGTTGACCACCCTATAAGACACATGCCTTCGCCCCTGGGTGGGGGTGGGGGTGGGGGTGGGGATGTGGGAGTCCTAGGAAATTAGGGTAGGTGGAGTTGCCTTTAATTTGAGGTGGCCGTGTTCTAAGGGTTTACCATTAACCAGATTAATCAAAGCCAATTAATAGATGTGTAAGCTTCACAAGTTGAGGAAAACTATATAATTAAATAATATATTTATATATGTATTATTGTTGATTTATGTTTTCTTACTGATTCATGTGAGCATTTTATCCACCACATAATTCACGAGCAAGTTAAATTCTCTCATCAAAAAGCCAATGCACAAGAATCTTATCTTCTCCTTCTATATATGCACGTGCCACCACAAATAGTTACAAAAGTAAGCAAAGTAAAACACACCACTTTAATTAACCTTTATTTGATCTTAGGTTATGGTTACTGGCGGATCCAGGATTTTAAAGTCGTGGGTGCTCACTGATAAAAATTCTGAAAGAAGAGGAAAAAAGAGTTTAGTTATGGGTGCTCACTCAATATTTATCTAAATATTTTTATAATTACCTATACAAATTTACTAGATCTTGTCAAAGATAGTGGGTGCTTGAACGCCCAAAAACAGCATGTAGATCCGCCACTGGTTATGGTAAATATTAAACAAATTAATAAATAAAACATTGAAGCTGAGGATCTTCTATTTTTATTTTTCATCCGGTGTCCGGTACCAATGGCAGATGTATGTTGATGGTTATGGGTGCTCAAGCACCAATTACTTGTTGCGGCCAAACTCACACGCAAGCATACGCGGTCTTCAAGTAATAAAGTGACTAAAAGTCGGATGTCGAACCCACGAGGACTTGTGATTAACTATTAACTAAATTAGACTATCCTAATTATCTAAATAAGAATTAAACCTAGAAATATTTGATTCTAAACTAATTAAATAAAGAAATATAAATAATGAACTTTGAATAGAGGAAGAGCAGATTTTTATGATATCAATGTAATGAAAACAATCTAGGGTTATGGGCTATCTAACATTCCTATTGTATTCTTCAATTGAATTGACTAACTAATTTATCTAGTTTATTGGTTAACAGGGTTAATATTGCTCATATGAATCTGTCGAGTTCTTACTCACCTATTCAAGCTAACCTAACACCTATATGTATATATGTGGAATTAGAATCAGCAAGAATGTATTTATAATTCCTGTAAATCAACCAAGCAACGCAATTAGGTATATGTCTATCCTAACCGCGAATCCGTTCCCCAATGCCGAGGTTCAAGAACTTGCTCTACTCAATCCTATTAAGCGCAGAATTAAATAAATAAACCAATATGATAAATCAAGAAATCAAAATCAATATCCGGATAACAATAGTCATGAAAGAACCACAACCCTAGAACGTGAAGTTTAGCTCCACATAGACATGGTAGCCAAACAACAAATCATACAAAGAAACATAAAAATTACTAAGTTTTTTGGAAGAAAGATGGAACTTGATGAATTCCGGCCTCCAGGCGGCTCTGTGCTTGTGTTTTCCTCTAAAAAACGTCCTCCCCTTCAAAATAGGTTTAGGTTGGCTTTTATATGAGTTGTTGGGGTTAAAATAACCGATTCCTAGACGAAAAAGGCCACTTTCCCATCTTGAGCGTCCTGGGCAGCGTGGGGCGCTGGCCCTGGCGCTCAAAAATTTCAGCTACTGCAAAATGCGCCACAGCCAGCGCCCAACGCTGGTTGTGGCCATCAAATTTCACTTTTTTGCCTTTTCTTCCCAATTTCGCTCCAATTCGCACCATTTCGTCCCAAGTTGCATCCGAATGATTCCTACACATAGAAATACCACAAATGAGCATAAATCATCATATTATACATCCAAAATCTACGAGACATGAGCACAATGTGAGGCAATATACATAAAAATATGCATATATTAAGCCAAACATCAGCTAGTAATTCTTACAAATATATTACTTGAGCACCCAGTCTCAATAGTAATTTTTAGATAAATAATCCCATGACTTAAAATTTTTAGATCAGCCACTGTCTGATACCCACATTGGGGCCCGACTAAATTCGGATTCGCGTCGGGAAGTCCCACATTGGGGGTAAAACGCTCCCTAACAAAGACGACTCCATACTCAAGGACTCGAACCTGAGACCTCTGGTTAAGGATGAAGAAGTACTTACCAGTCTTCACTATAGCACTTCCCTCTAGAAGAGGAATAACTTACTCGCACTTGGTTATAAACATTTATTACTTAACCAAAGTTGACTGATATATATTTTACGTTAATTAGCGTGTAACTGTGAAGGTTAAATTGCTTATTTTAATGTAAATATTGAACACGAATATAAGTATTTCCTTGAAAAAAACACCGAGGGTGTGATTAGTTGGTGGCATTATCTTCTTTCAAACTAGATAGCTTCACGAAAAAGTAACCCTCAACTATGGAAGATTATACATAGTTCGAATTACATTATGTTTGTTGAGTGTCGATGGCTATAGAAAATTATTTCTTTGCCAACTGGAAAACTGGAAATAGTCCTCAAGAAACTATGAAGGGGACATTTTGTTTGACATTAAAACGTCTCAAGAAATCCATATGGAACTCTCTCAGCGTTTTCGTAGATACATGAATAATAAATAAATTTATACATAAAAAAAATAAATATTACTAAAAGTTTAGTTTTTGATGTTTTCTTCATTATCTATTGGAGAAGCATTTTGTTTACTTAAGACATTACTGATAAAATATATATTCGTGTATATTTCTGTTAAATATTATATGGAAGAAATTGAAAAATAAGCTATGGAATGAGACTTGGTATGCACTACTAATTCAAAAAATTCAATACCGCGTTTATTATGTAATCCAAATGTTTTTTTTTCATGTTCATTATTATAATTGGTTTTAGTATCATTGATGCATACATAAAGAAGTTATGTTGAATTTTTTTTTTACATTTTTGTATAGTATCAGAAAGAGAATGACTTGGTATAACCTAGGGCTGTCAAATTTGGCCCAAGCCCAAATGACCCGCCCAACTCGCCCAAGGTTGGGTTGGTTATTGACCCACCCATTTATTGAACTTAGCCCATCTTGACCCGACCCATCTCAACCCATTTAAAGTTGGGCTAATTTTTAGCCCAAATTGATCCATGAGTAAGTTTGTCAAAATATCTTAGAAATAATTTTATTTTTTGTTTAATATTTTAAATATGACCATAACAAAAGCAAACAAGCCTTATTTAGTAATTATACAATTTATAAGAAAATAACACATATTAATTAAAGTTTAATAAGAGTTGGGCGGGTTGGGTTATGACCCGAATTTTAACCCATCTTGACCCAACCCATCTTAGCCCAAGTAACTTTTGGGCGGATCATTTGACCCGCTCAATTATTGACTCCACCCATTTTGACCCGCCCAAAATTGACCCAACCCGCCCATTTGCCACCCCTAGTATAACCTACAACTAATTCAAAATTTAACAAGCCGACATGACAATTTAAATAATTTACTAATTAATTAGTTGACTTTACTTTGCTTCTATTCCGTTACGCCACTTTTTTACAAATTTTTTAAGTGATCTTAAACCGCTGAGACTTTACTTTCAGAAATCCCTTTCTATTATCCTAGTTTTGTTTATCAAGTATCGATTTTAATAAAAATTACAGATACAAAAGTTATAAAAATTTAATTAATGTGAAGAATATATCTAATACTATATAGTATATACCAAAAAAATTCTTCATTTAAAACTTTAATCCGATATATCTCTGTGGTTTTTGAAACAGAAAAAACACAATCCTTAGAAAACAGTTAATACATTTAGTTATGCGTTTGGACATAAACATATGATTTTTGGAAAGAAGAAAAAAATAATTTTTGGAGTAAAGTTGAAAAAAGGTATTTAGAATTTAAAATTATTTTTGGATATATTTCACTTGAAAAATATTACAATGTGAGGAGAAACCAAATTTTATTGAAACTCATCTTCAAAAATTCAGTTAAACGTATAACCAAACATGATTTGAAAATATTTTTCGAAGAAAAGGATAATAATTATATCCAAATGGCTCCTTAATTATTTCTTGACGCCCTTGTAAAACTAACTATAGAAAATCTGTATATATACAAAAACATATATATA